GCACCATTGAGTTCTTTGTAACCAAATGTCTCTCAGAGGGGCGTGGGGAGGGGGTCCTTATTTTCATCTAAAGTAACAGACAGAGAATCAGCACTTTGGAAACAGGGGTGAAACAGAGGGGATTATGGGTAATGCTGCAATAATCTGATTGGTGTTTCAGCCAATCAGAGACAGGCTCTGGATATATCTGAGACTTGGGATATATTGATGAGAAACAGTATGATCTTTAAACATGTGCTTAACAAAATATTATTGTCAAAAAAGTACAAACTAATAATAACCCGGTCAAAAAAAGTTCCTTCAAAATGTCAACAACCTGAAACGTTAGAAAAGCATCAGGTGGTTAAGATCGGTATCCTGAGAATTTGAACGTCTCTCCATGAACTGAGGATATATGAAATGTTCTCCGTCTCCAGGACCTTCTTCCCGAGCGGCAGTATAAGTTTCGTGTCCGAGCGGAGAACATGTACGGAGTCGGAGAGCCGAGCGCCGAGTCTACGCCCGTCACCGTGGGGCTGGTGGACAACGGTGAGGAAGCTGTTGTTGTTGTTTGTTTCTGTGTGACACGAATAATAACAGGGGTTTATACGGTGGATCCCTAGAGTCTTAGAGCCTGTTTTATTATCTGCACCTCCTTGTGGTCATTGTGCGGTTCTTTAGTGACTCCTTATAGTGGTTTTGCATTTATTTTCTGGTAGCTTGGGATATTTTTGTATCTCTGGGATTGTTTATATTTATTTTGAGCTATGCTGTGGGGCTGGTGGACAACGGTGAGGAAACTCCTCCAGATAAGAGAAGACTGTATTTATCCTGAAGGAAATTGTTGTGCCAGAGTTACAAAAATACAATAAACACTGCAGCATGAAAATACAACTGTACTCTAACAGAGCAGTGACAAGAGCAATTAAATAGATCCTGGTTGTTGGTGTTGTTGTTGTTTGTTTCTGTGTGACACTAATGATAACGGGTGTTTATAAGGTTGACACATCGAGTTTTAGAGAGTCACCTTCTAGTGGTTTTGGGTTCGTTATTTGCACCTCCTTGTGGTCATTTTGAGGTGGCTTTTTGCATCTATTTTGTAATTTAGCATTTATTTGTAGTATTTTTCTGTATTTTTGTAGTGACTTTGTTCTCCTTGTGTTAGTTTTCCACATGTTTGGTCATTTTTAAGGTTTCTTTCTAATTATTATTATTTATTTGTTAAATTATTGTTATTTTAAATAAATTGTGTTATGTTCTTTGTTAGGTCTCTTGTGTTGGATTTGACCAGAACATTTTCAATAATTAAATTACTTATTTGTAGTCAGAGATTTCCTGTGAACAGTTTCAGACTTTATAATGAAAGTCAACGATAAAATACTTTTAATGTTTTTTAGTTGACCACTTATATAAACTATTACAAAATCAGCTGACTGATCGGGGAAACACTCAGATAGAGCTTCATTTGAATGTTCAGAGAATTGCCTGAAAATATTCGTTCCCATTGACGCTCAGTATCTATGGTCCTGACTCCATGTAACCAGCACTCAGTCCATTCAACTAACTTTCATTCAACTACCATCCATGTGAAAGTGAACTAAAGAGACTAACTGAACTAACTGCTGTTTGGTTCGTCTCACAGATGACGAGGCCGAGGTGGAGGAGGAGGATGAAGGTACTCTCACTTCCTGTTTATTAAATAAAAACATTAACACGACATCAATCGACCTCCAGCAGTTTAACCTCTGACCTTTTGTGTGTTCAGACTCGGAGAAAGAGCCGGATTACAGAGACGTTTCCATCCGGACGGACTTGAAGGTGAAGGAGCTGTACGACGTGGAGGAGAGGCTGGGAACGTAAGGCTTTCACACCTTAACACTTACAATAATAACCTCAGATTGTAGAGAAGTCTATGAGGAAATGTTCCTACTTCTCTCTTTATTACCTCAGATTGTAGAGAAGTCTATGAGGAAATGTTCCTACTTCTCTCTTTATTACCTCAGATTGTAGAGAGGTCTATGAGGAAATGTTCCTACTTCTCTCTCTCTTTATTACCTCAGATTGTAGAGAGGTCTATGAGGAAATGTTCCTACTTCTCTCTCTCTGTATTACCTCAGATTGTAGAGAAGTCTATGAGGAAATGTTCCTACTTCTCTCTTTATTACCTCAGATTGTAGAGAAGTCTATGAGGAAATGTTCCTACTTCTCTCTTTATTACCTCAGATTGTAGAGAGGTCTATGAGGAAATGTTCCTACTTCTCTCTCTCTGTATTACCTCAGATTGTAGAGAGGTCTATGAGGAAATGTTCCTACTTCTCTACTTCTCTCTCTCTTTATTACCTCAGATTGTAGAGAGGTCTATGAGGAAATGTTCCTACTTCTCTCTCTCTTTATTACCTCAGATTGTAGAGAAGTCTATGAGGAAATGTTCCTACTTCTCTCTCTCTCTTTATTACCTCAGATTGTAGAGAAGTCTATGAGGAAATGTTCCTACTTCTCTCTTTAT